ATAATATGCATAAAGAAGAAGACTGGATTAATCATGAATACCAATCATTTATTGTCCGGAAGAGTGACGAAGTTTTCAAGTGACAGGTTTCCCTCTAGTGTTATATAATATGAATACTTATTTTCGAAAAGGACCGTAAAATATCATCTTGTTATTACAAACATCATAACTAGCAACTGACTCAACGAGTTCTACCGACTGTAATGACTATTTTTGGAGATTTTGTCGTGTCACAATGGGTGGAGGAACAGTCGTAAGTCTAAAATTAGTCAGCAGTGTAAGTAGCGTACAATAAATGTAACGGGGGTTCGATAGTGTAGTTGCACTTTTGGTGACAGGAGTGACTGTTTCTAACTGCCAGTAAGTCATTTACGCTGTTTCCAAAATGTGAAGACTGGTTACAAAAGATTTGCCTCAAAAGTTGTGCACGATAGACAGCAACAGAGAACTTTGCTAAAGATAGATTTTAAAACAACTAGTCCCTTCCATAAATTTAGATGGTGTCATTAGAAGATAGAGATTATCTGAAAAATGTGATGAGATGCACAGTACAGATTGTTCAAAACGTACTGCGCGAATACATCATATTTTTCAGATAATCTCCGTCATCTAATAACACTCTCCTCAGGATGGGTTCCAAAACCAGTTTCAGTCACAAATAAAATGGACTCTGTATTCACACAAAAGTAAATCTTTCAGATACAATAAGAAGAAACTAACTTTCACTATGTGGTTATTCGTATAACCTAATGTAAAAGTACATCAGTTCCGGTTATCCTGATTCGTAATTTCATAAAAAAGAGATGAGCAAAATTATATTAAAATTACTGGAATCTAGACAGTAGAACCAGAAGATGAATTTTATCTAAAACGGCAACGCAGGTGGGCAGTATACTCCAAGCAATTTGATTGAGTACTTACTCACCAGATAATTTTGCAGGAAAAATTAAACGACGTCAAAGACAGCAGTAACGGTGATAGGAAACGCAAGAATAAGAAATGTAGTAAGGAAGGAATAGTGTAAACAAGCGGACTCTCAAGCTTTTACAGCAGTAAGTGTAACACAGCCATCATGAATGATAAAGGTGCAGAGTAGGTTAAGTGCTAAAGAATTTTTTTAGAATCGCATATTACACCACAAATCTATGTTTAAATTTATGAAAGTATTAACAACACGTAAATTAAAATCCCCTTAGTTTATACACTAAACTAATCTTGTCAATATATTTATTTAACTTTACAATTAGTGATGGTGTTAAAGACAGCTATCTTTACCACATTATTACCCCTTTCACCCTAAAATCTGATACTATCATGACTGTTACTTTGAAGTTTTATTTCTATTCCTCTTGAGAACTGAATATATGTTTACACTGTTTGAAACCTATTGCCCAAGAACGCTACACGTTTAGTACAAAATTCTAACCACATCATATACAAACTGATAAAAGGAAAAAATTGTTTGAAAGAATCCAAATCTAAATACAGCACTTGACGCAATTAAAAAGTTTTATTAGAAAATTACCAGGAGGACCGTGAAGTAATATACCACGCGGTACACGGAGGAGTAAAGCAGCATCTGCTTTGGCTTCTGGACTATTGGGTTTCGCAGCACTGATTAAGCGATCTTGTATCATTGTTCTAAATATTAACTTCAATTCACTATATCCACCAATATCTGTCCATCTTAAAGGATCCACGGATGTTATATGATGGGAGATATTGATTGGTAAATAGGATCTAGATTCAATTCTTAAGATTCTGCAGAATAGATCCAACTGTTCGTTGAACGTCAAAACTTTTCGCTTTACAGAATCCTCCAAGCAGTTGTGCTGCATAGCCACAAAACTGGCATATGTCACTTGAACCAAACGAACTAGATCCCTTTGAAAAAATATACATATAACTTCAGTCAAAAGGTTATACCTCCGAAAAAATAGCGGTATATAAAATGCCACACAAAACACTACTGGTTACGTACAGACGACATCACAACATATGACAAACGCAGATTGCCTGAAATGTTGGTTCCATCGTTCCAGCTACTTGTGTGGTAAAATCAGTAGAATTCCCAGTGAAACTCCTAGCCACTTGTCTTAAGTGCTAAAATGTTCCGCGTCGGTGGCACAGCGGTAAAGGGCGCTCGCCGACCATGTACATGGTCTGGGGTTCGATTCCCAGCCGACACATACCTAATATCAATGGTCGGAACCAATGGTTCTCTAACCAATGTCAGCTCATGATGAAATCCTGTAACCAAATCGTAAATAATTCGTTTTCCGCCTCAGATGATATGTCCACTGAAAATAATCTTCGTCCATTAATTAGTTGGCTAAAAATTACTACCACTACCATGGAACATAGACATTAGCGGTATATAGAGTTCCTAAAATAGACTCTTCGACTGTGCCTTTCATTTCAGTTTGATGCTACTTCATACACGACAGGATAGGTGATGTGTTCCAGTCTCAGTAAGAACACTATCACTCCCTGGATTGCAAGTAATCAGTGATAAACTGAAAGGAGTTGCATTGGTAGAAGGAAGGCAAGATAATAGAGATGAAGATGGATACAAAGATGAGTGAGGATTAGAGAGGTTTCGCGTGCACTTTGGAGTGTGAGGGCGATTGTTACTTCCCGGCTGCCCACACCGTGGAAGTTGGTCGCGTGACCGCAGAGCCCAAGGGACAACTGCCTGAGGCCGGTCACACGCGGCCTGTTTTTGTTTGTTCTTTTTTATTTGGTGTGTCTCAGTAGCGTATTTATCACTTCTGCCCTGTGACACGGCAGCAGAAAGCGCGGTCGTTGTTAATCCGGGCCCCGACCGATCCGGCATGATATTTCGTGTTTTTGTTTGAGTCATGTCTTTGGATTGGGTAGCTGCATTTTGTCTAACCGCTATCCAAACAACCTTTCTGGCATGGTAGGACCTACAGGAACTTAAGTTCCAGCCAGTGTAGCTCGTTGGGTCATTGCGATATGCAAGCCCGACCACCACGTCAAGGTAGCAGCTTTCGGTTGGGTGACTTTAATGCTCAAATAGGGAAATTGTGTCAATCTGAGAATGTCGGTGGCACATACGGAATTCCGTGCCAGCGAACCGACAACGGTGACCGTCTCCTACAGTTCTGTTCAGATAATCATTTGTACCTTGTAAGCACTAACTTCAAACACAAGGACAGACACTGTATGACTTGGCGACCCCATCATCAAATCAACGCTGGACACAAATAGACCACATAGCAATAAGCTATCGTTGGCGTGGGTCGGTAGGAGATTGCCGCTCCTTCTGGAACACGTGTGTAGATACCAATCACGCACTGGTCCGCGCTCGTGTGTGCTTACGACTGAACGGACGTAGGAAACAGCTGGCGGTAAAACCATCACGTCCCCAGCTCGATCAGGAAACTAAGTCCCTATTTGAGGAAGAACTAGCTAAACACATATCTGAGTTCGACAGCTGCGCTCACCCTGAAGAAGCCTGGAAGAATATTCAATCAGCCATAGATACAGCTGTAAAAGCTGTGAATAAGGTAAATCCAAAGGTGAGTAAAAACCATTGGATTTCGACTGCCTCATCCGAACTGATAGATGCTAGAAGACTTATTCCGGCGAGCTCCGAATTCAATGAGGAGCGAAAGCTGCACAAAAGGAAACTTACGAAAAGTCTCCGCAAGGACCGTGAACAGTGGTGGTTGACAAAGGCGAAAGAGATGGAAAAAGCATCGGCGATAGGCAACACCAGACAACTATTCAGGCTTATCAGGGAAACAGGTGGTAAAAGGCAAATGATAAGCGAAACAATCTCTGAAAAAAATGGCACCATAATTAGCTCCCAGGATAGACGTCTGGAGCGCTGGAAAGAACACTACGAGGAGCAGTTTAATTGGCCCACATCCACACTTAGCCTGCCGGACATCCAACACCTCCCTGAATGGGATATAGACACAGGTCCTCCGTCCCTAACTGAGGTTACTAGAGCAGCCACTAATCTGAAGCAAGGCAAAGCAGCGGGACCTGATGGATTGACTCCAGAGGTATTTAAGTATGGTGGAGACAGTTTACTGTCTGCGTTAACTGAGGTACTAGGCAGCGTCTGGGAATCAGAGGAAGTCCCATCGGGTTGGTGTAAGTCACTGATCATCCCGATATACAAGAAGGGAGACAAGTCTTCTTGTGATAATCACAGAGGCATTAGCTTGACTAATATAGTATCTAAAATCCTAGGCTCAATAATACTGCGTAGACTAAGTGGTGCTCGGGAGACACAAACACGAGAAAACCAGGCAGGTTTTAGGCCAGGTAGAGGGTGTATTGATCATATCTTCACCCTTCGACAGATTCTAGAACATAGGCATTCCTACCGGCGTCCGACAATCATCATATTTCTTGACCTAAAGGCGGCATTCGATTCTGTCGACCGGGAGGTTCTCTGGCGATGCTTGGCTGTAAAGGGAATGCCGAGAAAATACATTGCACTGATTAAGGCACTCTACTCGTACTCATGCAGCCAGGTGAGGGCTTATGGCGAGTTGTCATCTGAAGTGGTGACGACTAGTGGCGTCCGTCAAGGATGCCCATTATCCCCATTCCTATTCAACTTCATCATAGATGTACTAATGGACTTAACCCTAACACACTTCAGCGACTCAGGGATTGACTTGCTACCAGGGAAGAATCTCGTTGACTTAGAATATGCGGACGATATAGTCCTTCTAGGCGAGGACTCTGACAAAATGCAGAGTCTACTGAACACCTTGAGCAACAATCTTCGTATGTTTGGCATGCGATTCGCCCCTGTAAAATGTAAGATGATGCTGCAGGATTGGACTTCACCGACCCCTAGATTAGAAATAGGAAGTGAAGTGGTAGAGCACGTTGACCGCTTCAATTACTTGGGAAGTACCATCAGCCCCAACGGGTTGATCTCAGACGAAATCTCAGCACGAATACAGAGGGCTAGGTTCGCATACGCCAGTTTACGCCGTCTCTGGCGTAGACGCGATATCCGACTATCGACCAAAGGGCGTGTGTACTGCTCAACAGTCCGCTCCGTCCTCCTTTATGGCTGTGAGACCTGGCCATTGAGAGCAGAAGACATGAAAAGATTAGCTGTCTTCGATCATAGGTGTCTGCGTTCTATCTCCCGCGTGAAGTGGTATAATAAGGTGAGCAATATTGAGGTTAGGCGTCGAGTGCTAGGTAAGGAGGGGAAATCAGTCGACGAGGCTGTGAAATTACATCGACTGAGATGGTTGGGACATGTGTTACGTATGCCTAGTCATCGCCTTCCTCGACGGGCAATGTTAGCTGATATAGAGTCAGGCTGGAAAAGAGCTAGCGGTGGTCAAACCAAAACATGGCACCAGTCAATGAAATCCACAACAGTTAGTCTAAGCCACGTAGGGAGATGTAGACTTCCTGGTTGGGGTCCTCGGGACGGTAAAAACCAATGGTTGGAAACAATTGGTGACATGGCTCAAAATCGTTCTCAGTGGCGCAGATGCATCCACTCCTTGTGACTTATGATTTCCAATGAAACTGTTTTGTTCTTCGTTATTACTATTCCTTTGTCTCACACCTCTGTTTACTGTCTATATTATGCATTTCTTCTACTTTCTTCTCTTGCTTTGTGTGCTACAAGGAGGGAGTGTGGCGACTTGAACTGCCGCACATATGTGCAAAGTTCTATGTCGAAAACAGACAGACAGAGAGACAGATAAACTGAAATAAAATAATCCGACTCCACTTCAAACAAACACAGATCCAACAGCATTAAAACAACAGAAATGAAGTGAATGTACTTACTTCGGTGTATAGCCATGCAACTGAGCTGCAACCTGAATAAGATTTTCGTTCTCGTCAACAGTATTATATGACTGATCATTCATAGTAGAATCTTCGGAAAACGATTCATGTTTAACAATCTCCTTGTCATGATGTAAGCGTAAATAAATATTGTGATACAAAATCTGATAACGTCTTGTTGCATCAGGAAGCGATACCAACAGTCGTCTATAGAAAAGCTCTCTACATTCATGAATACTGAAAACTTTATCTATTGTGGTAGCTGTTGCCAGAATACAGAATCGATAAATTATTTGCTGATCGAAGACAGGAGTTTGATTAACACACTGAATTGATTCCATAAGCCGATCTAAAACTATAGAAAACTTTTTCACCTCACTGTTTGTATCCACTGCAGAAGTATGATAATTACCATCCCCATTTTCATCAGAGTCAATCCATTTATCGATGTTTGGCCATAATATGACAACTGGAATGTAAACTTTGCCATTGATTTCTGATTGTTTAACTGAATTTTTTAGCCAATGATGTGCACCAATTCGCTCTATTATAGATAAACGATGAGAAGATTCATCAGTTAATTCCTTGATTAGTTTGGGAGTAAGTGTAATAAATGTCAAACTTTTTTGAGGCTGCAATAAAGGAAGACATTAAGAATCATCTTACTAGTATGTATGAAAAGATATTGAAACATATTATCTCATAAACAAATAACAGAGATTTACCTCAATATCTGAATCCGCATAATTTACACCATCAGTGAGACTTTCAAGAAACGTGCGTTTCCCGCAACCTGGTAGTCCATATATGATAATGCCAGCTTCCATAGTGGAAGTTAAAACAGTCTTATTTCCTTCAACGCATGTCAACAGAAAGTTTTGTAGATAACCGAATACCACACTTTTAACAACATCTAAGCCACATAAATGGTATTTGTTGTGATTGATATAGTCGTCTTTTGCAGTCAACCTGGAAGTTATTGAGCTCCCCATATCGACTGATATACTAGGTAGATTTCTAGTTTGGACTAGAATCAGTTGGGTGGAAGTACCGATCTGAAACAAAATCAAAATGACAACACTAGCTTAACATATGACATTTATGATCATTATATAATAAAGAGAAGTTTTGGTTTAAATCGAAAATATCAGTTGAAATATTGATATATGTTCTCAAGCATTAGATGATATTGAAAATCAAATGTCCATACAAATCATATATTCATAATACTAATAACATATATGCTTTTGTTACACCTACTGATAATACATATTCCCTAGTGCCCAAAAATTACGATGACGTGGGAGGATATAAAGGATAAAGGTCATCATTCACTTAGAACTTCCGATTACAAAAATATGATTTTATGATGATCGAATAAGTGTAACATAAACAAAACTTCTACTTTTGAATGATGATATTCCGTATTGCAGTCGACGCAATCTGGTGAAAACCATACCAGCCTTTCGAATCTGTATCATGATTTCAGTGGCCAACAAGGGACCAATGAGACTTCCCATATGCGCTAACAGGCCAATCACTGTACTCCATACTGTCAAACAAAGTAGAGACAAGGGTAAACTATCAAGTGATAAATTGCATTTGTGACAACAGACGAACCTTGAAAACGGTCAAATTATCGTTCGGTATTCAAAAGACTGCAAGTTATCAGTGCCTTCACTAGGTATCGTGTATGTTAAGACCCTGACAAATCGATGAAAATGTACGACTGAATTATATAAAACAAAGCAAGAAATTGTGAAGAAATCACAGAATTTCACACACCACACCTGGAGTGCAAACACGCATATACACTTAGTACAAACTCATCGAGTATCTGTTTATTGGTCGTGTTTCTCCAAGAATCCAGTGATGACTGTCCCATAGAACTATCAGATATCACCTTTTAACGTGAATAAAGGCATGCATGCCATAGGCTAAGACTTTTATTTACATCTCTGAGAGAAATGAAAACAACTTCAGATCTAGATTAAACAACTATTCAACAACCCCAGCTTCCAACAGTTTCGGAGATTTCAGTCCTAGATTAAAAACCATATAATCAATTTCTTAAGACTACCAAACGTTGGTAACGCATTCCTATAGATTATGAAGAAACTATGAGAAAACTGATTACCTTATGACTGCCTAGAGCTTACTCAAAAGTTTCGGTAAAAGTAAATTCGACGTAAGAGTAGAATTTGGGTAGAATATAATTCCATATTAGCCTACTTTGTCTGATATAAAATACCATGATACAGTATTAATAACTGAATGAAGTTTTGAGAACGATTTATTCCTTATAAGCATATCACTGCATTCAAACAACTTCATAACTCGCTTTAAATAGCCTTACTCTGCTGTTTTTCATCACAGTTTACCACATATACAAGATGTGCTGCACCAATTCGATTGCACATGTTTATTGTTGATTCGATGAACAAAGATTCGGTGATTAACTCTTTTCTCCACCTAACTATATTACTTTTTAGCACTTTTGCTCCATACCACCCTATTGTGTGACTTTGTGCAAGTAAATACATTGCATCGGCCAGTTATTTTCTAGATTACTCAACTCCGCAGGGTCAGTCATTCTAGATCTGACTAAATTCCTACGTTCCAATAATCCAACTTGCCTTAAAGTTACCATATAATATTTGGTGAATTTCCTAGTTGGGTGTATCGGATCCTTAAGCCGTCAAGTAAGCAGCGCTACAGTGCTAAATCTCTAATATATGCTTAAATGTTTCTCTTAGCTATTTATTTCTAAAGTGCTACGTAAAATGTTATGTTTACTGATACGAACTCACTTTAAACACAAGATGATTAGAAACAGACTGATTAAATTCACATGACCAGGAGTCATTAGTGTTGCTGAATGATTCAAACGAGAAACTGAAGTTGTCACGTCGAGGAGATGAATCGGGTTCCCTTTTGAAACTGTGAAATCAAGTAGTTAAAAATATGAGGCAATTCTGACTGAATAAAATTACATTGATAAAAAATCTGCAAATTGAATCTGAGTTTCAAACTGTCTGCAATGTGACTCACCGAACAAAGCATTTGAATTTCAGCCAACTGGCCCCTGGTTTGAATCCCACCCCACCTACTTTAGTCTGGGTGGTTGGGTAGAATCATCATTCGTTACACAATAAGTGTGAATCATATTCCGGTTCACGAAAGCTCTGTTCTGGGTAACTGAGCTTAAACAACAATGTGATGCAGAATCTCATTGTCAATTTCCAGAAGCAATAGCAAACTACTTTAGTAAAGGGAGTGAATGGGATCCAGATGACGACTAAACTTGAAACAAAACCTGATGTGAGGTACGAATTAAATTACTATATTGTTAAGGCCGTTTACCTTAGATATGTTAATTACTGTGAAAGGTCTCATAAATTTATCCTGTCGGGTAAGAACTTTTCCACTGTTTCGGATCACCGAATTTGAAAGATAAGCCAATGATTACGTACATTTTCTACTAGAAGAGATTCATATTGCTGTCTGGCTTTTTAGTGCTACAACTACCTTAGTGTATGGCGAACTGACTAGATCAATATGTAGTAATTATCTATGAAGTTACTGACTTAATAAGGGACTCGTAAAGGAATGTAGCCTCCCCGGCTGAATCTAAGCGATAGTACAGTCTCCAGCTAAAGACTCAAGAGAGTATGACTGGGAGCAGACCTTGGTGGTACACATTCACTTATCTCTCATCATTATCTTATTTGTAACATTTAGATTTTTTCTGCTTTCTTATTTCCCCTTTTCTTGGAGCTTTTGACCCTTGATTGTATCAATATCTTTTTTTTTGTCTTTCTACTTATTTGACGTGAAATGTGGTAACTTGAAACACCTCATAATGCTGGTCTCTGTTTAGGATGATTGAATAACACGTGTTTGGAGCACACGAGTGGAAATAGAGACTGTATGCAGCTCAGCACCCTCATCAGATAGCCAAGAATTACGAAATACCTTGCTTGCAAACCATCCAAACCAAGAAAACTACAGACAAATACAGAAATAACTTACTATTGTTGTCTTGCATTACGAATAAAAATTGATTCTCCAGTTGTAGAAATTGCTTCAATACACTGAAGTGAGAAATAGTCTCCTAGAGCTCGAACAACCTCAGTTGTTCCGATAAGTAAATGAGACATTTCTATGCATATCAAATATTAATGTCAGACGACTTACGTAGCCTATAGTGTACACTTGTTTCCAGCAGCGGAATTAAAAGAGGGTTTACTGGTGTTCTAAATCACACGGAGATTACTTTATAATAAGTTACATTATTTCCAGCTTCAATAACTTCGCTGGGAATACCCGGACTGGCAGTTGGACAGTAAGCTTTTCGGACAAGTTTGCACCAAATCTGGATACGGTAGCATCGGGAATTTCGACCTCATCAGAAGAGGAAACTCCAATAGTTGCAGGGAATTTGTCATTGATAACGACGACTTGAAAGACATGAAGTTGATTTTTTCGGATAAAAGAACGAGGAAGTAAGATATCCGGCTTCATCTGTTAATACAAGTAGAAAATACCGAATAGCTTGGTAAATTCCAGATATTAAAATATGTCAATTTACTAATGCACACTTGTCAAATAGGCATCTGTAAATTAGTGAACTAATGATACTCAAAAGACAATCAGAACAATGTACAAAATTTATTACTGCTTATCATAACAAGCTTGAGGTATTTTTTGAACCGTTTTTTACATAATTATAGTGGCAGATTACCATCTAAATAAAGGTGTTAAAAGAGGCCAACCATAAAAGTGGAGGGTGAAAAATAAGACAGATAATATGCCTTTTTAACAATGAGAGGAATTCTTGTTCCTGTTGTCCTAATCACATCAAAAGCTACCTAGATTTACACTGAGTAATTTAGCCAAATGTATTAGATTTCACTTTTCTTGGGTACTGCGACATTTTTTTCAGTCTTTTTTAGTATTGTCTGAGTAGTGCAGTCAATTAATACCATAGTAGCAAATATCGCCTTTGACTGGACTGCAAACCTCTAGTAGATAATAGGATAAACAGCGGTGACTGCAACCACTGGTTTGATTAAGTCTGCACAGGCCTACAACCCTTCACTCACAGGATGCAACAAACCATTATTTAAGCGGATGTGTACCTTTGGCATTAAGTTTTATTCAAACCATGACTGAACTTCTGGTATCCAAGAATTGGCAAAATAAGTAGGTGAAAATAAGAATTTGGCATCTAAAGTCACTGTCATTAGTGGAAGTCCTGTGAAGAATACTCATCTCGCATTGACTTTGGGCGCATTGCAGAATGTTTGGGGCAAACTTAAGGGCCTTGTCCCACGTTCGGTAGTGCGACCGAAGAAAATGCTAGATGGGATTAAGCTGAAATCACGGCTGAAGACATTCACAAAAGTTATCAGAGGATAACTAAGCTTATTAATGATTTGATGCCCTTTTCCCAGTATTTTCAATCAGAAACTTATTATCACAATGTTCAAACTCACACCCAATTAGAACCAACTGCCTATCCCTCCCAACTGCACGCGGTGAACATCAAAAATCCGTCACTCTAGGTCACAAACTCCAAGGTTGCCTACACAAAAATACCACAATATGTTTAAACAAATGACTGTGTTTATAGAAAAAAAGTAACACGAAAATGCAAACTTTTGGATTTTGTTAACCAAATGTTGTTTCGATCAAATTATTGGTCCTGGTTAATGTAGTTTCAGACAGCTTTCTAAGGAGGGAATTCCAATATCCAATATCCAATATCTTTTTACGAGCTAGTATAAACCAATTTGATTTCTTTGCGCTCGCCTCTTGATTGTAAGGTAGAGGTTCCTGATCTTTGGTAAACGTCTGTGTAGCTCGTCCCGCCACTCGACTGTCGTAGCTTTGGTTGACTCCAACAGGAGTAGTGCTGGGATTAATTATATGGCGTCTGTAGTATGAAGTGTGTTAAGACTGTTACTACTGTGAATGGAGTTGATCCTTTCACCAGTTAGTCTTTCGGTATCGTCGTCAATGGAAAAGAGATAATAATAATAATAATAGATATAATTAGTAAAGGTATTCAGACTAACAGACAGAGAAAAAAAAATAAGAAAACGTAACAACAGTCAGTCAACCGGTATACATATATATATATATAATATATACCAGTAATAATGATAATAATAATAATAACAATAATAATAATAAGTGTAGTTAAAGCTGTCAGGAGAGTAAGACTGAAGGGAATGTGAAGAAGTAAAACGACCAGTTTAATTGTCTATCTTTGAATGGTATATGCGATTTTAAGGGGATAGGCCATTTGGATACAGTCCTTGTGTCACTGCAAGGTTGTCCAGCCTTCGCTTAAAGGCGTCCACAGATGGTGCCATAGCTACATCTGCCGGTAAGGAATTCCAGGGACGGCAAACCCGCAGGGAAAAGAAGTGGGAGCGCACCCGGGTCCTTGCCCTCTGATGAGCTATCCTTCTGGGATTTCCACGAGGGAGCCTATACCTACTCAATGGCAGAACACCTTTGTTCGGGTGATTCTGATCATTTGTTATTTTGTAGGCAGTAATTAAATCCCCCCTCAGGCGACGGTAACTGAGTGTGAATAGGCCTAATTTCTTCAGCCTTTCGTCATATGGTTTATTTCGGAGTCCAACCACTCCTTTTGTTGCCCGTCGTTGGGCTCTTTCCAAGAGGTTGGCGTCTCTTTTAAGCAGTGGGGGTGCAATGATATTATGCACTTCAAGATGCGGTCTGACGTATGTTTTATACAACCTTAGAAAGAGCTCAGGAGTGAGTGCACCTAATTGTCTATGTGTAAAGTGTATGACCGCATATGCCCTCGCTACATCCCCCGTGTAATTCACGCTTGTGTCCATTTTCTCCGTTAGAACTAGACCTAAGTCACGTTCCGACGTTGAGCAGGACAAGCTTTCATTGCACAGGGTGTAACTTGCATTCTGCAGTCTACAGGTGCGTAACTTCACTACTTTGCACTTTTTCAGGTTGAAAGTCATTCCACTGGTTACCGCCCAGTCTTCCAGAAGCCTTAGATCTGCCTGCAGCCTATCTGAGTCCTCCGGACACTTTACCGCCCTCCATATCTTTACGTCATCAGCGTATAGAAGAGTCGGGCAGTTTAGACGGCATGGTAAATCATTGATAAAAATCAAGAACATCAGTGGTCCCAGGATAGAACCCTGCGACACTCCTGATGACGAGCTGTGCCAAGATGATCGGACTCGGTTGACCTTGGTGCAAAATTGCCTTTCAGTTAGGTAGTCCTTCAACCATGACAGAAGTGGTTTACCTAGACCTACCTGGCTTATTTTGTGTAGGAGAAGGTCATGGTGAACAGTGTCAAATGCCTTCTCAAAGTCTAGAAAGATCACATGGACAGGGACATTCATATCCCAGCATGATGTCCAATCGTCCCAAGCTGATAATAAGTTAGTGACGCAGGATCTTCCTTTCCTGAAACCGTGTTGGGCTTCATGGAGTATTTTAGACCTATCCAGATATTCCCTGATGTGATCATCAATAATACTTTCCAGTACTTTCGATACCACTGGGAGTAGAGCTACTGGTCTATAACTGGTGGGATTTTGCCTATCCCCACCCTTGAAGATCGGAGAAAGGATGCTTCTTTTCCATTCCTTTGGCAGTTTCCCCGATTCCATGGAGTGTTGGAACAAGTCGCATAAAGGCCTACAGAGAGCTTCGGCGCACTGTTTCAGAACAGATGGCCTGATGTCATCACACCCTGGGGACTTCCCAGGTATAAGTCGCTGCAGCTTTCTCAGTACTATTGCAGGGTTTATTTGAGGGGTGGCTATTTGGTCTTCCTCCTGTGAAATAGTCATGCCACCATTTTGGTTCGTAACGGTAATACCCACATTGCTGTTTAGCTGTTTGGCGAAGGCTAAACTGAATGTTTCAGCCATCTCCAGACTAGTGAGATATTGACCGTTTTGGCCTACTAAGGCGCAAGCCCCTTGGTTGGTTGGTTTCCTTTCCGACATGAATCGGTACAAATTCTTCGGGTTTGCCAGGAGTTTTTTGGCAAGGTTAGCCTGGAATGACCTTCTGTCCCTCCTGACTTTTGCATTGCACCAGTTCCTGAGTTCCAGGTATGCATCATGGTCGATCTGGCTTCCAGATACGCGCCACGTAAACCAAGCCTTCCTCTTTGCTTGCAGAATACGCTGCGTGCCTCTCTTTAACCATGATGATTTTCTTTTTGGCTGTGCTGTGACTAAAGGGACGGTATCCGAGATCGCTGTATGAATAATCTTTTTTACCGCTTCCCAGTGTTCATCCACAGACAGCTCATCCCATGCTAAGGGCCAGTCTGCATCGGACAAGAGCCTCCGCATTTCAGCGTAGTCAGCCTTGCTGTAACACAGACATGGTTGCGTAGCGTCCCACTGCAAGTGCTCACGGAGAACGAGGTCGAAACCTATGACTGCATGGTCACTACTTCCTAGAGGAGTCATGACCTGGACCTTTTCGACGAGTAGTTGGTCACTAGTTAGAATGTAGTCTAGTTTTGATGACTTTCCACTAGGGCCCCACCTAGTGTCGTCTCCAACGTTCTCAGTCAGTCCCGTATTCCGAATAGCTTGCAGTAGATTTCGGCCGAATTTTCCCTTAGCATACCCCGAGCCAAGGTTCAGTGATGGGGCATTGAAATCTCCAGCAATGGTGATTTGGTCATAGCCCAAGTCTCGTATCCCTGTGATAGTGCTGAGCAGTAGCTGATTGTGCTCTGCCCCACAGGTGGGAGATCGGTAGATGCCACCAAGTAAATGCTTGGTGTGGCCTACGGTGAAATGACACCATATGGAGTCTGGGAGTTCAATAAGTGGTGGGTCCGTTGCGCGAACACATTTAAGTTGCCTATCAAAGTATATGGCAACTCCCCCTCCTTCCTTATTGTCCCTGTCTCTCCTGACCAAAACCATATCACCTATACTGATTTCATTATCGGCGATAGTGGGGGTTAGCCATGTTTCGGTGAGAATGATTATTTTCAGTTGTAGGTGTGCTTGGAGATTTCGGAGTTCACCTATTTTTACTCTCAGCCCCCTCACATTGCTATACAGGCAGCTGACAGTGAGTCTTACAACCTCAGCTTGTTGTGAGGTAGTTGACGTGAAGCTGTCTGCTGGTAGGGAACTTAGTGTTGGGACTAATTGGCCAGTTCCGATGGAACCGGCCCATTGTGGTTTTTTCCCTTGGATTTAGGCAGGATACTTGGGTGGCACAGACTGTTATTCTCAGAACTGCATCGCTCGAGTGTCACTGAAGCTTGGGGACGTATTAAAGCCTCAGTTTGCTGCCTCCTTATGGTTCGAGGTCTGCTTTCGCAACATCGGATGTTTCCTCCCAATTTCCCCTTGATCTCATACCACCGTTGAAGTGTTATGGCCAACTGCTCTGGGGAGTTGAATGTGACACTAAGCAGCCTTGGGGAGCTAATCAGTGTGAGATGAGCGGGGCGAGGTAGTCGGTAAACGGAGATGGCTCCAGAAGCGCCAAGGGCCATCTGAGACGACAGCCATCTCCACTGCTGTACGTCATGCATGTGTTTTTCACAGGCAGTGCCCGTTTCCAGCTCCGGGACACCGTGCACTACCATAGAGGTGGAAGGCAAAAGTTCCGGTGACTCCCTTGCCATTTGTCTGACAGCCCATGGTCTGTCTTGTCTCACCCTTATGTTAGAGCTTCTGTCGATGGCTAGTACCTGAGCCATCAATAGTACCTTTTCGGCCTCTTCGGCAGAGTCCAGTGTAACCCGTAATGGGGGTGGCTTACCTTGAGGTGTGTGGACACCCCTGTACAGCCTGCACAATTTCACTGAACTAATATTCAGACCTAGTTTATTGCACAGGTTGGACCACTGTTCCTGATCAAACAGGGCCCGCTGTTCAAGCAAGCTGTCCTTGCTCACAGGTACGTTAAAGAGGATGAGCGAATTAGACCGATTAACCTCAGACTTAGGTTTGGCCTTTGGCTTCTCATATTCCTTTGCAGCATCAGCAACTTTAGGCTTCATCGGGTTCTGACCAGCCTTTATTGTGTTGCCAAGCTTGCTTGTGGATGCAAGTGGTGCTTCTCTAACTCTATCTTTCCTTGATTTTTTAGGTCCAGCCTTATGAATCTTCACCTTGTGAAAATTGGCATTTTCGGTCAGTAGGACAGGAGTGTCCTTCTTACTGTCTGTGCCAAGTTTTGGCAATGTGACGTTAGCAGGTGGGGAGCTACATAAGACCGTGTTGGGACACAAGGGCGGCGTGTTGTTTCTGCTAACCGAAGACACGCTCTGTGTGACTACACCAGGGCGACAGAGTGGACAGATGTACCAAAACCACGGGCATGGGTTATTTCTCATAAACTCGTAGTATGATTTCGGTACCTCTTTGTCGCAACGGCAGTGCACCCACCGTTTGCAAAAATTGCATTCGAAAGCTGAGTCAGCTTTAGAAACAATGATATTGCACGCCTGGCACTCGTCTCCCTTACTTGGTGACGCCTTCGAGGTCTTATGACGTCTTGAGCGTTTCCTT